TTGCCCTTTATTTTCAGGGTACCTGCCAGGTGGCCTTTCCCTCCCTGAAGCGGAAAGGATATTCCATTCTACAAAATGTACAATGGACGTGGAATCTAGAACAACGTACGACACACTACAGGTAACCGGACCGAGAGGTGTCACTGAGGACAACAAACCTCCAACGACACAGACAGGAGACTCTGTCGGTCGGGTCTCCGACTACAAGGGAGTCTCCATGTGGGTTTCTCCAGAGTGAGGGAATGGGTGTAGGGGGTAGTCTGACCGTACCGTTACCGAGTTTCGGGGGTCTCCACCTGCGTAGGAGTCTCTAAAGACAGTAGACACCTGTACAAATACCGGTACCGTCTCCCCCAGTCAGACTGTCCGACCTTTGGTCTCTCCCCCTTTGTCTTCGTCAGTCTGTACACTTACACCTCTAGGTGTGTGGATAAACGAACGTGATTTTTATTTGTGAACATGTGTAAACCTCTTGTCTATGTAATATGCTGAATACCCCCATTGACCCACAATTGCTAGGTAGTGAATTTGACCATGAAACACGTGCTACTATTATTAACAACATTCTAGATGAACTAAAACTAACAAACGTTTTGTTTTTGTTTCGTGGTTATTTTGTCGTGTTTGTTTTATCGTTCTACCTGTCCCACTGTAAATTTATTTGTTTGGATACTCCAATTGTTCTTCCGTAGATTGGATTTTTACGTAATATTCGGTTATGTTTTCACTTATAGTTTGTTTTTCATTCTTGTGTTCTGTGTCTCCTAGTTTTCCTTTTATAATACATTATTAGAATAGGTTATCTTGACATATTGTTGTTGTCGTCGACAAATTTTGGGTCGATAATATCAGTTAAATATCTTGAGAAAGGTACAGTTTACAGAATTGATGATGTAGACTACAGTTGTAATACGAATTACACATATGATGTTTGTTAATTTAAAAGATAATTTTGCAAGTCAAAACAATTCAAATGTGTCGTAAAACTGTGAAGTAACACTTTTTTTTGTGTGAAACCGCTCAATGAACTACATCTCCCGTCTCGCACCACACACCAAGACGGCCGTCACGTTGGCACATTTCACTTCTTTCTTTCAGAATGAGGCGAAAAGTATTAAGAGGAGACAATCACTACAAGTCTGGGCATGTTGAGAGCTGTACATACACACAAGGGGAGTTAGTCGGTTCCGTAAGAGCCAGCATGCGGGACCGGGATTCTGGGATTTGTAGTTTTTCTAGTTGCGTATTTTTCATAGTCTTATATTTCAACAGTTTTATGACAAACTGACTTTTTTGACATGGAAATGATTTTTTAAGATTGACAAACATCATATGTGTAATTCGTGGCACAATTCAAACGGGATCGAAAGATAATCTTTCTCTCCCCATTGACTTCAATACATAATTTTTCCAAAATAAGGTCCCATGGGTCGGAAGTAGATGGGCAATACACATTGCGACAAGTATTTATGTTTTTTATAAATGAAATAAGGGTAAAACAGGTAAATAGTGTAAGCCAAAAAAGTAGAAGGCATAAAAAAAGCTAACTTCTTGTAAGGCAGTGAAAATGTTCAAATGAAATATCAGGTAATAAAAAATGCTAGCAGGGGTACAAAGCTAAATCGGTAATCACTTATTGTAATTTGAAAGAGAAAATGTAAATCAATAGCTGAAGTATGTAAATAGTAAGTAGTGATTAAACGTGAACATTTAGCACACAATCCGTGTAATATTTGTACAACACTTTCTTTGGCTTTTCCAATCACTTTAAAATGACTTAAGCTTCACGTAATCTTTATCGGGTGTACCCCTGCAAGCATAAAGCACAAGACACCATCAAATATAAAGCTGGGATGAGTACGAAAAATATGTTATTATCGTGTTGGGGAGATTAGCAACTCATCACAAATGAACTGTATGACGTTATGTTGGGGATAATATACATTAATGATTGATGTTAAAGCAAGGACAAATAATCTGACACCGTTAAATGTTGTCTCCCATAAATGAACACTTAGTTTCATTTGTTTTAGTGTTTCAACTGAATTTCAACTTTTCATTCACAAAGAGGTTTTTTGTCATGATCTTTAAATATCATCATGAGTAGAATCAATAATGCATCAACATGTTACTGATAGAACATTGAAAACATCTCGTTTCAACTGAAGTGTCTGTACCTTCGAAGGTTTCTGCTTACCTTAGCCTGTTCTTTGTAAGTCTGCAACTCAGAAACCAAATTCTCCAGCTCTTTGGTCTTGTCCTTGGAGGAGGAGAGCTCCTGCTTCACCGTGTCTACCTGACTCTGAAGAACCCCAAGGTCCTTTGCATGGAGCTCTGAAGCCTGAGAGGAGGATTTCTCTTGCGTCTCCTTTAGCTCCTCAACTAAGGTCTCACTCTGTTTTACAGCCTTCTCCTAGAAATCAAGAGATCAGAAAGACAATAACTAACAGTCTTCTCCTAGAAATCAAGAGATCAGAAAGACAATAACTAACAGTCTTCTCCTAGAAATCAAGAGATCAGAAAGACAATAACTAACAGTCTTCTCCTAGAAATCAAGAGATCAGAAAGACAATAACTAACAGTCTTCTCCTTAAATCAAGAGATCAGAAAGACAATAACTAACAGTCTTCTCCTAGAAATCAAGAGATCAGAAAGACAATAACTTGTATATACTTGTTTTGTATCAGCCATTGACTAAAATCTAGACTTTTGGAGTAAACAAAATATACACTCTTATATTAGGGCTGTAGTCAACCATCTACTTTACTCTAACAATCTGAATTTCATCGATACATACTAAATCAGCCAGAGTGCACTTCATATGATAGACTAAATGAATTACAAATAAACATAAAAAGCTATTTGTAGTATATTAAAGTATATTTACAACATGACATTTAATTCTCAAAATCAAACACATTTTGTGTGACTGTCCCACAATACTAACCAGGTTAGTAATGTTGTCCTGAAGGCTACTCATTTGAGCCTGATGAGCGTCTCTGGTCTCTTTCAGCTCCTGCTCTTTGCGGGTCTGTTCTTGCTGCAGTTGTTCATTTGAGTGTGCCGCCTTCTCCTTCTCCTCTGTTAGTTGACTCTGTAACTCCTCAAGCCTCCTGAGTGATGACAAAAACAGAGGACATTAGACGAAGCATGGAATGTTACAAAAGCAAGAAATGTATCGTTGTTTTTTTGCATACAATGATTGGTTTATGCTTTTGCAGTAATCACGTAATACAGGAGAAGGTAATAATCAAGTGTCGTACCTTTCTTTTTGCATGAGATCTTCATTCATTTTTGTCAGCTGTACTGAACTATCGCCAGATGTCTTCATCATGTCTGAAATATCATTTTCCAGCTTGCATTTGTCCTTTGAAAGCTGCTCAAGCTTTTCATCTGCAGCCTTCAGCTTTCTCTCCAGGCCTGAATAAGACAAAGATTGTTCATAGATTATAAAGTTATTTTCAACCAGAAAGGAGAAAAAACGTACTACATGGTAACCGTTTAACGTGCATGCAGTTTAAACGTTCTCACCGGAAAGCTGACTTCTTAAAGACTCTGACTCGGTGGTCAGAGAAGTGCACTGCTCTTCCTTCTGACTGAGCTTCTCAAGTGTTTCTGCAAGAGGAAAATGGTTGCATGTTAGATCCTAGGAGCCTTAATGAATAGGAAGAGGCGAATTACTAACAGAAAAGGTGGGAGGAAAAACAGTTTACTATCTGAAATAAGCAATTGCTTATTTCATTTTACCTTGCATAGTGTTTGATGAGTTAGTCTGATCCTCTGTGCTGTCAGCCATCTTTTGTTTCTGTGGGGGGGGAAATACATTCTGCATCACATTTGTGCGTTTGATGTTTCTGGAATATCCTCATTTATACATTTTCAGGAATGTTAAAGATTTTGTGGTTTGTCCAGCATTATAATTATTATATTATTAGTTTAATGATGAGAACAGGTGATGTATTGAACCAGATGATATGATAGCTCATTGCATATATGTGTATAATGCATATTTGTTGGGTGACTAACAAGGATGTGCACTAGTGGATTTAGACAAATTAAACAAATGTACATGTTTGTTCATCAAAAGGACACTAAACACGAACAAGCCCGGTATCCACCATAGCTGCGACCATGCATTCACACACAACACTCGACCTCCAATCTCAATCTCACCCTTCTAGAGTGGGGTAGTATTTTATGGACTGGCCAACCACCAAGCTATACATCTAATTAGACAAGTGAGACAAAAGGTACTCTGCCATAACTAAGCTACAAGACTCACCATGCCTCCAAGCTCCTGTTCCAGGGCGTCCTTCTCCTGCTGTACAGTGGTCAGAGTCTGCTTTAAAGAGAGGACTTCCTGCTGTCCGCACTCCACCTGTGAGCTCAATTCACTAACCTATAGCACATGTCAAGTAAATATTACAGTTGGTAATAGAGAAAAAGCAAACTGCAACGAAATATGCACACCAAACACAAATGAGTGACAAAGGACTTCGCTCACATAACACACTGAACATGGAGTATTAAAATGGAGATGAATTAGAACCCACCTTTGAATCCTGGCTGTTCCCTTGGTTCTGAACCAGCTCCATTTGACTCTTCAGGGTGACAAGTCCCTGGTTACCTTGTGCTACTTGGCTGCGCAGAGCCACTATCTCTGACATCTGCTCTTTGGTTTCTCTATCCTTGTCTTGGGCCTGTTGTGCCAACATGGTTTCTTTATCCTCAAGCTCCTTCACCCTAAGTTCGCCAGCATGAAGTTTTCCAAGAACATCCTCCATCTCCACCAGGTGCTGCTCCTCTACTCTTTCAACGCTGGACCGTAGAGAATCCTCCAGTCGCTCCTTATCATCAATCAAAGACGACAGCTTTGTCTTCAGCGCCTGCTTCTCCCGAGTCCAAGCTGCAGCATCGGCCTCATGTGTGGCACCAGCCTCCTCTAGAGCCAACGGGTGCTCTACCTTCAGCCTTTCAAGTGCACTTTTGGTTTCAATAAGTTCTTCTGCCTGGGCCCCAGCACCTTTGCTAAAAGATACCTTTAGCTCGTCCATGGCTTGCTGATGAGAGGCGATGGAAGACTCTAACTTGGAACGCCACAGATCAATTTTGTCAGCGTTCTCTTTCTCAGCCTGGCTTAAGCGCATCTGGAGCTGCTCGTGTTCACCAGAGAGCCGGACGGACGCAGCCTGAAGCTGGGCGGCTGCCTCACTGTGGCTCTTTTCTTGGGCTTCTAACTTCGCCTTGTACTTTGCGAGTTCTTCTTTCTGCTTTGTTTCTTGGGAAGTTAGCTGATCCCTCAGAGAGTTTATCTCTTCCAGAAGGGGAGAAAGGGTAGAGTTTGAGTCTTCAGAGCCCTGTTGGGACCCGAGACGCAGCTGCAGGTCCGCTACATCTCGGCTTCGTAGTGAAAGGTCCCTCTCAAGGTCCATAATACGGGATCTTTCTGACACAGTAGCAACCTTAAAGAACAAAACAATCTTACTTTCAAAGATGTATCTTACATGGTTTAGTACGGTATTCAAACACAAATCGGTCTTAGACTTTATCAGACTTAACTGTTACTAAACAAATGAAAACTGGCTGGTTAACTGCAATTATAGCCACACTTAGTAATAATAAAATGTGTCTGACAGAGAATTTAATTTGCTTGCTAAATGAGGAGGGCATGAAAAACATAGATCCTGTAAACAAGGTGTTACACTGACCTCTTGTGGCCATAAAGGGCATGGTCTAAATAATGAAAGTGAACACTGAAAGCATGTATGGAGCTATAACTGTGTGTAAGACAATTCCCCCCCATCCATTACACTAACACTATATCACTGATTAATGCTAATGTTAACCTCATGATTTACATGGATTAAGAATAACATTTTGGGAACATTGACATGTTCCACTTTATTCCAGCTATGTTCCAAATCTTCATTTCATTATAATGTTCCCAAATATGCATCAATTTTGCTGCTTAAGCTTAATATTGAATAGCTTGGTTAATAATTGGCCCTGAAACTAGAGAGATATTGTTCTTGACATCCCTTATGACTATAAGATGTCAGGGGAGCACAAGGATGCTACGTCTGGGAGTAGGAACAGGTTTCTGACTATCAAAACGCAGGGACACCAATAAGCAGGACAAATGGATGCTGGGAAGGACTGGGGAAATATTTTATAGGATAACTTAGACAAGGACAAGGGACACGTTTGTCTGTCTGGTTAAGCAGTGATAGCAGTATAGCGAGAGTGAGTTCAGGTTGGGTTACGTATCGGACAAAGGTTCAAATAGAAGTGGGCTGAAAGTTACATCAGGTAATTTGTTGACAGTTGTCATTGTATACCTTAAAACGTAAAATAATTTTGCGGGGATCGATTTAAATGCGAGGTATAATTAAATAATTCTGTAGCTAATGCCACACTGTAATGCCAGACCAACTTGAGCATCTATATAAACTTTTAAACTTATTTTTCTGATTATTTGGGCGTTATTTTGCTTATATATATATAAAGCCTGAAAAATGCGTTTGTGGGGTTCACCACAAGCTTATACAAAGCAAAGCTCCAGTTGCTGCCCAGCACCTCTCGGTATCCCTTGAAAATGTTTTGGCCACTATCCCCGGCACTTTGTTCCAACGGAGCACACTGCAGAGCGGCTTTCATTACCCTATTGTCTTCTAACTCTCTTTGGAGTTTCTCAGCTTTGGTCTTTTCAAAGAGTAGGCTCTGTTCAAGCTCCTTAATGTGGGCATGCTCCAGTCTGGTCTGCGTCTGTTAGTAAACAAGGGGGAGAGGAAGAGAACACACCAGTGCCACCATCACATGCCAGCCCAACGCAGACAGAGAGGGAGGGAGACAGGAGAGAGGATGGAGGGGTTTGGACAATGATAATGGTAGGGGGGGTTGTGTGTGTGTGTGTGTGTGTGTGTGTGTGTGTGTGTGTGTGTGTGTGTGTGTGTGTGTGTGTGTGTGTGTGTGTGTGTGTGTGTATTTGGGGGATTGGGGAAAGGGTATTGGGAGGGAAGTGATGGATGAGTGAAAATGGGACACCCCATGCAGAACTTTCAGGCTGTGCGATAAACAGCTGCACACAGGGAATGTTCAGAAAAAAAAATGGTGTGAGATGCAAAACAAGCGACAACAGAGGGGGCCATGTGTTATGGATGTGCAGGATGAGTATGTTTATGGAGGCAGTTTATAAGTAACCATGCAAAATTGACACCTGGTGAACAAAGCACATTGATTGTTACGATACACAGAAAACTGGATAATTTGTGTCAAGCCAGTAAATCACGTAAAAATGACTTCACCACATCATGGGGAGAAAGCAGTGCAGGTTGTTTCCTGTACAGACCTAAATGTTGTAGAATTGTCATATTGATTTATTAATACAAAATCAATATAAAGATGTGTTTCTGCATATAAAGCTAACCCCATAGCATCTGTATCTTCTACTCGTCATCTTGTGACGCTTGAAGCCTTTTCAATAACCGCACTGCTTTCTCTCTTTGGTGATAAGGCCATTGTTCACAATGCATATTGTAAGTAGTGTATAAGAAACCACCAGTTATCAGACCCCCATGTGCTGGATTTGAGACCAAATCAAAATAAATAAATCAGTATTGAAGAGCTCAGGCTGTTGGGACTCAAGAAACAGAAATGATTCGCATTTGACTTTTGTTTGCTATGAATAACAGTTTTTAAGGAACTTAAGGAAGCATTTCTCGATAAAGGCTTCTTGTATTATATCAGGGGTCGACAACCTTTTTGATATGAAGTGCCATTAAAACAATTTTTTATCAGTGTGCCGACGATCGTGAATTATCAACGGGGGGGTGAGGAGCTTGACGCTTGTGAACTGTCAACAGGAGGGCAGGGGGAGCTTTGCTACGGGGAAGCAGTGTGTGGACCTGTCAGCGCAACTTACATGATGCCGAATTTAACAAAAACATTTAAATAATTGGTTCAA